CAACCCCCCCAGCTCCTCCTGCACCCTCTTCCTTCTCTCTCCTGCCCCTCTTCTCTGGTCTGGGGTCGTCTTGAGAAGTGATGCCCCCTTGTCGACCGAATAGAGAGTGAAAAACCTTTTTAGGCAGATGTAAGAACTGTCAGTCCCAGGATGGGACAGCGAATCAGAAACCAGGGAAGCTGCAGGATCTGCCTACTTTCACTGGGATCAGGAAAAGGGGGAGAGAGGGGTGGGGAGGAGGTGGAGGAGGGAGGAAAGTTTGCGTTAAAGAAAAAAAGTTTGGAGAGAGGAGAAAGTGTGGAACAGGAACATGTAACATGCAGAGTGTGCAGAGGGTTAAATCCATGCATGCCAAAAACTTCAATCCTTTTCTTTTTTTCCATCTCAGCCAGGCAAGACATTTTTGTGAACAGATTTTGCTGTCCCAGGATAGGGAGACAATTCTAGGGAATGCAAACAGATCTGGACAAAGCTGCAGTCTATTCACAGCCTGTGAAGATTTGGTTAAACAGCTGTCACTGCAGGGGGGCTCTGATTGACACTTGGGATTCTTAAGAGGTTTTGCAGCAGCGGTGGCATGCAATGCCGGGCATTCCATGTCAGTGTTTCCTCTGATTCAACTAAAGATGGATGTTTGGCTTCTTTTACACTGTAAGCGCCCTAAAACACTTATGGCGCTTACAGCTGCAAAACTTTGTGGTCACACAATTCCCAACACCTTACATAAATTAATAAGCCCATAGAACAGGGACATTTGTTTTTTACTCGGCAGCTTCAAAAAAGGGCCACAATATGAAAAGTACATACTACATCACACTAAATCCCAAGTATGTCCATGGCTAGCCATCAATATCTACCTCCATCTATCCCTGGAGTGGCTTGTACAAGGTTTGATCATGGCAGAAATGCAGCCTTTCTTCTAGAACTGGTTCCAAAGGAACCAAAATCACGAAATTGTCTAGCTCTTACTGTTAAGAACTCATCTCCACTGAAAATGAATCGTATATGCCTACAAATATGTACAAACATTTGTAATGCACATAAATCTAAACCCCAAAACAAAAATTTTATATTTTGCACCTTACCAGTCCTTAGATAAGGTGGCTGCTCTAGTTTTCCTTCATTTTCACCTGGTGATCGGGCCCTGTAATACACTACCTGTCTTATGATGGCTATGCTTATTCCTCCACTGTATCTATGCAGGAGCACCATAGCCACCCGTGGACAGCAGTATTGTCAACCCGTGGAGAGAGTAGTATTAGATGTACTAGTAGATTTAGATGGACTTTACATAAATGGCTAACAAAACCCTAACTCGAGCTACCATTTAAGTGGTAACATCTACAGTTTTTTTTTTTTCCCTTTTGGAATAACGTTTTTAATTATAGGAATAAAAACTGACCATTGTAAGCGCCCCTATCAGTGTTAAATGGTTTGTCTCAAGCCCCCTACGTTCACTTTTGCTTGACAACTTGGTCTGTTTGAAGGAAGTTGAAAAATAAGAGCCTTCATGGGCAGATCAACAGGTAATAATAAACTATGTTACAGTGGGGACTCGGAAAAACAAAGACTGCTGTGGTAATGCTTTTGACAGACTATCATAAATATATTTTTTTATTTTTCCCATAGTTCCGCATAAAGAATTGTGGCCAGGCTATGGATATTCAAATCATTATATATTCTTAACACGCTCTTCCTGACCTCTGTAAGTGTAGGCTCTGTGGAGTAATTCATCCACAAAGTTAGCAGCCTAAGATTCTCAGTTTTACTTTCATTTTCTCACTGCCAGCAGTGACTTGGTAGCCTGGCAGTCTTCTAATCTCTATTGTAAAGGCAAAGCAGGTGTACAGTATGAAGGGGAGTGCAGAGTGCTGAGATCTGACAACTTCATTGCTTCTACTGTGAACTTTAAATATGAGTTGCTCCACAGTGGCTGTAACTACAGAAGTCAATAAGGGTTTTGATTAAAGCCTGTTTACTGCTTGTGGAGAATCTATAAATATTTGCACGTTAATAACCTAGTTACAGTTTTCTATTAAAGTAAATGGCTATCAACTCAAATTTATAAATAGGCCATAAAGAAAACTCAATGAGATGTTGTTACTTTAAAGTAAACCTGTCATTAATATAAACATTTTACATGAAAATGTAGAAGCAGGATTCACCAGGCACTGCACCTTGTTTTTTGTGTGTCCCAGAAATCTTAACCCTGAATGAGGTCAGTATGCAAATAGCGTTGGCTTAATATCTGGAACTCTAGAACACCCAGGTATCTTACAATGTACTGTAATGCATACCTTACTGATCTATAGAAAAATACAGCACATGCAATGCAGAGAAAAGTTAGGGCAACGAAGTATATGCAGGCACCAGGTGCTGCTTTTGTCAGTTTGGTCACAAGTTTACGTTGATGATTTTATTTTTAATTTTTTTTGTTATGTTCATGGCGAACACCCGTTTGTGCACAGAACGAAGTGTGAACGGGGCCTTAACATAATCTCATCCATCACTGTACATGTTAGTCACCAATATTCTTAGAGCTTGTACATGTGCATTGCATGTGGTATACACAGTTTAAAGTACAACAGTGCACAGGCAACATACATTTAAATATTTACTTAACTTTTATTTACTTAACTTGCAGTAAAAAGACTTTATAATAAGCCCTCAGTGACCTATGTAGATATAGCTGCTGTAGAGCAATTTATCCTCAAAGTTCACAATACAAGCATTGTTCAAAATGGGTCTCAGCACTCTGCTCTCCCCTGTTCTTGTGCACCTGTTCTATGTTTACTGGGGATGCACCGATAAAAAATGTTTGCTTTCGGTACTCGCCAATACCGAGTACCAATACCGGTGCTACCGCTGGAATGGAGCCAGCTTCCCGGGCAATCAGAAAGCCGGGCGGCAGGTAATGGCATGCCGCCCGGCTTCCTGATTGTCCAAGAAGCCGGCTCCATATTGTTTGGCTGGCTCGATTGTGATTGGTCGGGAAACCAGCTTCCACTCAGGAAGCCGGGCCACTCAGGAAGCCGGGCAGCAAGTAATGACCCGCTTCCCGGCTTCCTGATTGGCTGGGAAGCCGGCTCGATGCTGATTGGCTGGAAAGCTGGCTTCCCAGCCAATCAGCATTGAGCCAGCTGTTAGGCCAGCTTGTTGCCGATTGACCGGGAAGCAGGCTTTCCAGCCAATCAGCAAGGAGACGGCAGTTTGGCCGCCCGATGCTGATTGGCCGGTTTCACCTCCAATCTGGAAGCCGGGAGGCAGGTCATTACTCGCCGCCCTGCTTCCTGATTGCCCGGAAAGCTGGCTCCATGTTCCCCTACGGCACTGCCGGACAGAGAAAATCTTCCTCTCACCGGAAGTTGCGGTATCGGGTAGTGTATCGGATTATTTGGGCGATTACGAGTACTCGCCCAAATACTCTGTATCGGCACCAATACTAGAATCAGTATTGGTACATCCCTAATGTTTACATTAAGGAATAAAAGGCTGACAGGCTGCCATGTCACTGCTGGCAGGGAGGAGCTGAGCTACCAAGAGAAAATGGAAGGGAAATTAAGTAACATCTGCTTAAAATTTGAGGAAGAAATACCCCAGAGTTCCTGCAGCTACAGAGGTCATTATGAGCTTGTCTTAAAGTGTATTTGCTGCTTACCAAGAAAATATAAATATTTGAATTTCCATAGCCTGACCACTGCTAAGTCCTGATGGGGGTCTTAATCACTGTCTTGAGTTGGGCTTACGCCACATAAGCACTGGTAAGAACAAATAAGCACTAGTGGAGGCAGATTCTACAGCCAGCGTTCTTGTTAGCGTGATGGCAGTACCATGTGTACAAAATAACATGATTGCTTTGCCAAACTCTTGTGTGTATTAGGCCATTCAGCTCACATCTTCCTCTTCCATTAACATTCCATGTATCCAACAATCATATTTTTATTTCATAACTATTAACCTAAAAATCCTGGTCAACATTACCAGCTAGAAGAATCCTGTTGTATTTGTTTATAAAGAGAGACTATTAGTGTACAGGTGGTGAAAGACATTTCATGGGACACATCTTCAAAACTAAGGACTAAGGACTAATTACTTGCATCATGTTTGACTATGTAAAATGTGGCTGGTGTTTTAGAATCAACTGCAGGTTGTTGATTTTGTGTTAGTGAGATTCACACAAATACAGACATACAACTGCAACTCAATAGGTTCATTCCAATCCCAGACAACAAAAGCATTGTGCACAGGCCAAAGGGGACTTGTTCAGACCCCTCAAAGCCCTCACACAGTGCTGGCCTCTGTTGTGTCACATTGTGTTCTCATGAAGCTTCATCTTTATAGTGTCTATTCTGTGGGCCATTCACAATACACGAGCCCGTCACTGTGTACTGCTGCCGTATATTCCTGAGAGGACGGTTTATTATAGGCTTTTGTAGACAGAATTTACCAGTTTCTAGACTTTATGGTTATTTGCCAAAATTTAGATGAAAGAATTCTGGAAATTATGGCAGGGATATGTTGCAGTTGGAGTACTCAACACAATTTTTAATTGTTACCTTGTGGCACAGTATCAGGTTATGTGGAGAGTGTGCACTGTCCTCTGGTTTATCTCCGCATATATCGGCTATTCCTGGCTCTGTGCCAGCTTTGTACATATAGCGTGTGGGAAGAGACTGAAAGGGATGGAAATATACTTGAAAAAGTGTTTAAGTTTCCCCAACTGGGAATTGGATTTACAGGAGTTTCTGAATAAGCATTTATGAAATTGAGGAGACCCTCCAGAGTACGACAAGGGTCGGCAGAGACTGAACTTTCTGTGTAATCAGGAAGTGCACAAGCCATAATATGCAGCAAGATGAGAAGGAATGTAAAATGCATTTATAGTAGTGTGGGATGTTGGTGGGAAACAGAAACCTCCATCACAAG